GAGGTGCTGATGTCTGTGCCTTGAAAACCACCCCATCAGGGTGCATTAAGCTACTTGTGGCTACTGTTTGTACTCTGTCTTCTTTCTGTGGTAGGTTTTGATTTATGCTTTTTATTTGGCTAGCAGTAGACTCTGTAGATGCCATTTGCCCTGAAAGCAATAACTCCTGGGACACAGGATGTAGTACATCACATTGTATTAATTCTGACTCCTCATCCTCTTCTTTTATTGTTTCTAGTTTCAAGTGAGTTGAAGAGGAAATGAAATAGAAATGTCGTTTGCTCAGGGACATGACTGTTTCCTGCACTTGCCGTTTCTTTATTTCGAGCATATGGGAAGAGGGCGATTTCTTTGCCTCCACAGCCCTGTACTTGGGATGCCTTATGCTTTTCTCAGAAATATTTGCTTTATCTTCTTCAACCTGGGTCATGCATTTTGTTCTTTCAAAATCGCTTGAGATATCATTCGAAGGTGACACTGGGTATTTTAATTCCTCTGCACTGGATGATTCCATGTGTTGTGAGGTTGAAAGAAAGGATCTTGCTGCCTCTGGTTTCTCATCCTTGATTTCTAATCCTTTGTCTAATTCATAGTGAGGCATAGCAGGTAATGTCAGAATTTCACTTAGTTCACTTTCTCTTTCCTGCACATTCCCCAGGTTTTCTCTTCCTTTTGTCTGCACCACTGTAGATCTTGAGCCACTATCTCCACTGAGATTGGGTAACTGTGAAAGCGGCAATTGCTCTGCCTTGACAGTCATGCCTTCGGCAGGCATGTTATAGTTCATACTTGCTGCTTCTTCTCTATCCACTTGTTTCTGTGGTTCAGACTCTTGTATTGTGTATACATTATTTGAGATATCATCCCTAGTTGTTATTTTCTCAGCAACAAATGAGTTCTGTGAAATAGCAGGTCTTATTTCTTGTTTCTCTTCTTTTTCTTCTTCTTTTCTTGTGTCCAATTCAGGATGAATTACAGAGGACACAGAAGGTAAATGCAAGAACAGAACGACTTCCTGTTCATTTTCACCTTCTTGATTTGTTTCTCCTTGCTGGCTGCTATCTTGATCTCTTTTTCCCAGCTCCCTGCCTTTCTGTTCTGTTTTCCCTTTCTCTCTGGTTTCTGAATCTGTGTTTCCTTGCTCTTTGGTTTCTGGATTTGCTTTCCCTACCTCTCTGCCTCCTGGACCCAGGTTCTCTTGCTTCCTGGTTTCTAGACCCAAGTTCCCTTGCTCTCTAGTTTCTGGATCTGCATTCTCTACCTCTCTGCCTTCTGGGTCCATGTTCTTTTGCTTTCTGCTTCCTGAACCCACAGTCCCCTGATCTCTGGTTTCTAGAGCCTCATTCCCTATGTCTCTGCCACCTGGGTCCATATTCACTCGGTCCTTGCCTTCTGGACCCATGTTCCCTTCCTCTCCAGTTTCTGGATTTGCATTCCCTTGCTCTCCAGTTTCTGGGTCTGCATTCCCTTGGTCTCTGCCTTCTGGGTTCCTTTGCTCTCTGGTTTCTGGGTCCACATTCCCTTCCTCTCTGGTTTCTGGGTCCACATTCCCTTGGTCTCTGCCTTCTACATTCATGCTCCATGCTCTCTGATCTCTGGACCCACAATGCCTATCTCTCTGTCTTCTGGATCTGGCTTCCCTTGGTCTCTGCCTTCTGGAAACACGTTCCCTTGTTCTCTGGTTTCTGAATGCTTGTTCCCTGCCTCTCTGCCTTCTTGATCCATATTCTCTACTTCTCTACCTTCTGGATTCACAATCCCTACCTCTCTGCTGTCTGGTTCTACATTATCTTGCTCTCTGCCTTCTGGTTCTGCATTCTCTTGCTGTCTGCTTTCTGGATCCACATCCTCTACTTTGCCAGCTGGATCCACATTCCCTAACACTCTGCCTTCTGCTTCTGCATTTCCTGGCTCTCTGCCTTCTGGATCCCATTTCTCCTGTTCTTTACCTTCTCCATCTGTGTTTCCTTGCTCTTTCCTCTTAGAATCCGCTTTCATTTCCTCTCTGCCTTCTGGATCCACATTTCCTTGCTCACTTGTTTCTGAATTTACTTTTCCTTTCTCTCTTCCTACTGGACCTGAGGTCTCTTGCTCTCTGGTTTCTGGATCCACATTCCCTTGCCCTGTGGTTTCTGGACCCTTGTTTCCTAGCTCTTTAGTTTCTGGATCCATGTTTCCTTGTTCTCTGCCTCCTAAACTTGCTTCCCCTTGCTCTCTGGTTTCCAGACCTGAATTTCCTAGCTGTATGGTTTCTGGAGCCACATTCTGTGGCTCTCTGATTTCTAGAGCAGCATTCCCTGGCTCTATGCTTTCTGGAACCATGTTCCCTGCTGCTCTGCCTCCTTGACCTGCTTTTCCTTGCTCTCTGGTTTCTGGACCTTCATTTTCTTGTTCTCTGGTTTCTGGAGCTGTTTTACCTTGCTCTCTGATTTCTGGATCTGCGTTCTCATGTTCTCTGGTTTCTAGACCTTCTATCTCTTGCTCTCTGATTTCTGGACCTGCTTCTGCTTGTTCTTTGGTTTCTGGAGCTGCTTTTCTTTGCTCTCTGGTTTCTGGACTTTCTTTCTCCTGCTTTCTTGTTTCTGGAGCTGCTTTCCCTTCCTCTCTGATTTCTGGATCTGCGTTCTCATGTTCTCTGGTTTCTAGACCTTCTATCTCTTGCTCTCTGGTTTCTGGACCTGCTTCTGCTTGCTCTCTGGTTTTTGGAGCTGCTACTCCTTGCTCTCTGGTTTCTGGACTTTCTTTCTCCTGCTTTCTTGTTTCTGGAGCTGCTTTACCTTGCTCTCTGATTTCTGGATCTGTGTTCTCATGTTCTCTGGTTTCTAGACCTTCTATCTCTTGCTCTCTGGTTTCTGGACCTGCTTCTGCTTGCTCTCTGGTTTCTGGACTTTCTTTCTCCTGCTTTCTTGTTTCTGGAGCTGCTTTCCCTTCCTCTCTGATTTCTGGATCTGCATTCTCATGTTCTCTGGTTTCTAGACCTTCTATCTCTTGCTCTCTGGTTTCTGGACCTGCTTCTGCTTGTTCTTTGGTTTCTGGAGCTGCTTCTCCTTGCTCTCTGGTTTCTGGACTTTCTTTCTCCTGCTTTCTTGTTTCTGGAGCTGCTTTACCTTGCTCTCTGATTTCTGGATCTGCGTTCTCATGTTCTCTGGTTTCTAGACCTTCTATCTCTTGCTCTCTGGTTTCTGGACCTACTTCTGCTTGTTCTCTGGTTTCTGGACCTTCATTTTCTTGTTCTTTGGTTTCTGGAGCTGCTTTTTCTTGGTCTGTGGTTTCTGGAGCTGCTTTCCCTTCCTCTCTGGTTTCTGGATCTGGGTTCTCTTGTTCTCTGGTTTCTGGGGCTGCTTTCCCTGGTTTTCTGTTTTCTGGAACTGATTTTCCTTGCTCTGTGGTTTCTGGAGCTTCTTTCTCAAGTTCTCTAGTTTCTAGACCTTCTGTCTCTTGCTCTCTTGTTTCTGGAGCTGCTTTTCCTTGCTGTCTCATTTCTGGAGCTGCTTTACCTTGTTCTCTGGTTTCTGGAGCTGCTTTCCTTTGGTCTCTGGTTTCTGGTCCTGCTTTACCTTGTTCTCTGGTGTCTGGACCTGGTTTCTCTTGCTCTCTGGTTTCTGAACCTTCATTTTCTTGTTCTTTCATTTCTGTAGCTGCTGCTTCTTGTTCTCTGGTTTCTGGACCTGTTTTACCTTGGTCTCCAGTTTCTGGAGCTGCTTTCTCTTGCTCTCTGGTTTCTCGAGCTGCTTTCTCATGTTCTCTAGTTTCTAGATCTTCTATCTCTTGCTCTCTTGTTTCTCGAGCTGCTGCTTCTTGCTCTCTGGTTTCTGGAGCTGCTTTACCTTGCTCTCTTGTTTCTGGAGCTGCTTTACCTTGCTGTCTCACTTCTGGAGCTGCTTTTCCTTGCTGTCTCATTTCTGGAGCTGCTTTACCTTGTTCTCTTGTTTCTGGAGCTGCTTTCCCTGGTTTTCTGGTTTCTGGAACTGCTTTTCCTTGCTCTCTGGTTTCTGGAGATGTTTTCCCTTGCTCTCTGGTTTTTGGACCTTCTTTCTCTTGTTCTCCTGTTTCTGGAGCTGCTTTTCCTTGATCTTTGGTTTTTGAACCCTCTATCTCTTGCTCTCTTGTTTCTAGAGCTGATTTCACTTGCTTTCTGGTGTCTGGAGCTGCTTTCTCTTGTTCCCTTGTTTCTGGAGCTGCTTTTCTTTTTTTCCTGCTTTCTGGAGCTATCCTTCCTTGCTCTTTGGTTTCTGAACCTGCTTTCCCTTGGTCTCTAGTTTCTGGACTTTCTTTCACTTGCTCTCTGGTTTCCAGAGCTGCCTTCTCTTGCTCCATAGTTTCTAGAGCTTCCTTTTCTTGCTCACTGGTTTCCAGAGCTGCTTTCCTTTGTTTTCTGGTTTCTGGATCTTCTTTCCTTTGGTCTCTGGTTTCTGGACCTTCTTTCTCTTGCTCTCTGGTTTCTCGAGCTGCTTTCTCATGTTCTCTAGTTTCTAGATCTTCTATCTCTTGCTCTCTTGTTTCTGGAGCTGCTTTTCCTTGCTGTCTCATTTCTGGAGCTGCTTTACCTTGTTCTCTTGTTTCTGGAGCTGCTTTCCTTTGGTCTCTGGTTTCTGGACCTTCTTTCTCTTGCTCTCTGGTTTCTGGGGCAGCTTTCTCTTGCTCTGTAGTTTCTGGAGCTTCCTTTTCTTGCTCACTGGTTTCCAGAGCTGCTTTCCTTTGTTTTCTGATTTCTGGATCTTCTTTCCCTTGGTTTCTGATTTCTGGAGCTGCTTTCTCTTGCTCTCTGGTTTCTGGAGCTGCTTTCCCTTGCTGTCTACCTCCTGGACCCATGCTCACCTGCTCTCTGGTTTCTGGATCCATTTTCCTTTGCTCATTACCTTTTCTACCTACTTTCAATTGCTCTTTGCCTTCCTGATCCCATTTCCCCTGCTCTTTACCTTCTAGATTCATTTTTCTTTGTTCTTTGTCTTCCCAATCTACTTTTCCTTGCTCTGCAGGATAAGATGATTGGTCCCATGAAAGTTCTTTCTTTCCTTTCAAGTCTTTAAATTTTGAATGCATGTCTGTCTTGGCTAATATTTCTACTTTATCTTCTTTCTGTGGCATCAGTTTTTTTACATTTTGTACTTTACTTGTAATACCTTCATGAGACTCTTTATTTGCTTTTATTGCGATGTCTGATGACTTCTGTAATAATTCTGGAGAAGTGTATATTATTATGTCGCTTACACAGTCTGCCTTTTCAATCCTTGTACCCAATTTTAAATGAGGAGAAGGAATGGGAGTGCTGGTATTGATCAGAACCACTTTGGATTCACCTTTAATTTTTTCTATCTTTTTCTCTTTGATGTCCAATTTAATTTCCTGTGTAACTGATGATTTCCTTTTCTTCAAAGGCATGACTTTTTCCACTTTTTTTCTCTCCTCTTCTTTCTGTATTAAATGTCCTATAGTGTTTTTTACACTGTTTGAGATATGAACAGAAATAGACTCTTGCGGTGCCATTTTTCCTACATATGATGACTCCTGGAGCTTCAGTTGTAGAAAAGAGAATCTTGTTTTTATTTGCATGGCTTCCTCTCCTTTTATTCTTGTGTCCACTTCAGAGTGTGGTAGAAAAGAGATGGCAGCAGATTTGCTGTGAATCTCAACTTGCTTATTTTCATCTTCCTGCATCTTTTTCTCACTTTCTTCAATGTTCAACTGTAATTCCTGGGACACTACAGGTTGCTCTGTTGTAAAAGCTATTCTTCCAGAATGCATTATTTCTTCCAAAGCTATTTCCATCCTGTCTTTCTGTGACATAGGATTTTCTTTTTTTATACTGCTTAAAATATTATCAATTGGATTCTCATATGTTCCTGTTGCCTCCATTAATTCCTGGAGTGTTAATGATGGAAGACAGAATCTCATTATCCCTCGTGTGTATACTTCTCTTATTCTGTGGTCCCATGCCAGGCAAGCTGAAGAAGGAATGACATTCTGGGGTTTACTCTGAACTGTCTTTAGATTACTTTTGTCTCCCTCTATCATTTTTTCTTTTTTTATATAGGTCCACTGTGGTTTTTTTCCATGCAGTGGTTGTTTAAAAGGTGACTTCTTTCCTTGTAAAGTGATACATATGAGGCCCATTATGTCTTTCACATTGACTATATTTTCTCTACTTGTCTTCTTTTTCTGTGGCAAACATTTTGATTCTATTACACTGTTTGAACTACCTCTACTAGTTGACTCTGTAAACAGTATTTTTCTGACATCTGATACCGACTGGAGTTTTGGTGGTGGAAGGCACTTGCTTAGTATTTCTGATTCACTTTTTCCTACTTCTGTTCTTGAATTCAAATTAGGATGGGATAGAGATAGTAAGGAAGTGTTTGAGCTTGTTATGTGCTTAACTGGTTTGCCTTTATCTTTTTGTACCTTACTCTCTGATTTTGTGATGCCCAAAATTGAAGGTACTTCCTTTCCATCAAGTACATTTGACAGTGATGATTTCTTTGCCTTCAAAATAATGTTAGAGCCTTTTGCTGTTTGCATCCTATCCTTCTCTTCCTGAGATATACTCTGTGTTTTTACATTATTTAAGATAACACCATCAATTGTCTCTTTATCTAATTTAGGAAGAGGTAAAGAAGGAATAGGCTCATATATTTTTGCCACAGCCAGATCTGGTTCACTCTTTCTATGTTTCATAGTTATGATATCCTCTTTCATGTTCCACTGCAGGTCTAGTCTCTGGGTTGAGGTACCACAGTCAGTAGTATTGAGTATATGTGAAACTATTGATCTCCTCAATCTCAGAGCTCTTCTATGGGCACATATTATATCTTTCATAAATCCTTGTTTTAAGCTGTCCTTCTGTTCTTTATATGCATTCAAAATAGGCATACATATAGAAAGAGAATGTAAAAATATTCCAGGTAGACATACTTCTTTGTGCACCTTTTTATTTGCCTTATGTGATTCTACTTTCTTACTACTAATTCTTAGCTTGGGTGAGCTTCCATTTGACACTGAATCAGTTATCTGTGCCACATTTGATGATTTCTTTCCTTCTGAAAATAAAAGATTCATATGGTTTATAGTTCTATTGCACAATTCTAAAGGTAGCATTATATTTTGTTTTTTCATTTCCCTTTGAGGAACTGAGGGCACAATCAATTCCTTTTTCCTGTCTGTTACATTACTGACTTCTGATAATGCTTCCTCTCTCTGAGGCAACAAATGTGGCAGGAGGCAGGGATAATCTTGTAGGTAGGATTTATGCTCCAGAAAGCTCTCACAGGAAATTGATTTGTACATCTGCTTTTGCCCTGTGCTGGGCAAGTCCTGCCTTTTCTTACTTTTTTTATTATATCCAACTGTGACATCCATTTGCGTTAATTCTTCTGTAGTTTGAGAAGTTGAGTGGTCACTATGAATCACATCTGTTATTACTTGTTGTGATGAAGTATTAATTTGAAGTAGGTCTGTTCTGGAGTGAGATACAAGTTCTGTAAGAGTGTCACATGCAGTTTTTTCTTGCAGTTCTCCCTTTCTTATAATAAAAAGGTCAATTCCTTCCATATTTGAAGTATAGTACCTTAGACTATCTTCTGCCTTCTCTGCTTCCTTTACCCATGGCAACTTAATCTGAAATACATCCACTGGAGAGTGAGAGATAGATGGTGGAAAAGCCTTATGTGTACTTTCCTGTTGGTGTTCTTTTCTTCTAATATGCAAATTAATTCCTTCTGAACTTGAAGGTTGGTCCATTGGAATACTAACTTCATTTGGTACTTTCTCTACCTTTGGGCTCAATCCTTTTGACCTCGTTCTTTCTTTTGCTAAGACTTCTTTCTTTGATTGTTCAGTGTGAAGTTGATGCAATATGCAAGAGGAAATGGATTCCAAAATATTCTGGTTAAAAATGTTTTGCTGCTTCACTGTCAAGGTTCTTGGAAAGTTTGCCTTGTGTTTATTTAACTTTAATGGACTATCACTTAACTTTAATTGCTCTTTTTCCCATGGATTTCCGTTGCTGCCATTTTCTTTGCTTGGTATAGTCACTGCCTGTTTTAAATGAAGGTCGCTAATAGGGCAAGATACAGAATCCAAAGAACTTTCAGCAACATTACCTTGTTTCATCTGTTCTGCCCACATTTTGTGCTGAACCTCTACATCTGGACAAATAAGTTCTTGTCCTTTGAAACCTAGTAAGATATTAGTTTCCTCTAATCCTCTGCCTGATAGATGGGAAATATTTTTCCTATTAACACACACGTCTCTTTCCTTAGCTACCTTTCCTGTGTTTTCCAAATGAAGGGGTTCTGTAACAGAGTAGTCAACTGGCTCCAGATTTGTCTTGGAATGCCTTGGTTTCCACAATCCTTGCTCCTTGCCAATCTTCTGTTGAGAAATAACCAACTTTGCAAGAATTACATTCTCTCTTTTTGAACTTAACAAAATATTCGTTTTGTTTGATCTTTTTCTCCTCCGTGGAATTGAAACTGAACCTTTGGTGGCAATGTCTACATTTCCCTCCTTTACACTTTGTGCATCGAAGAATTCAAATTCCATATCTGGTCTAATTCTTGGAGTGTCAAACTTACTGTAATTGATTTCTCTCTTCTGTGAAAATAGAACAGGACGTGGTTTTCTTTCCAAGTCTTCATCAAAGTCGACATGGCCAGGCTCCGGTACATGTTGGCTAATCACTAACTGATCTTCATATTGAGGGAGAATATCCAGTAACACAATTTGTTTTCCTTTTTGCTGGCTAATAGCCTTGCATGGTGTTTTAATAGTGCTTAACATAGCACTCTTATCAATGAGCTGCAAAGTTGGCCTTTTAGTTTTGCTTAGTGGTTTCTTTAGCCTTAGATGGGGAGCAATGTATGTCATCTTTCTTGGTTTGTCTTTTCCCCTTTTGACTTTTATATTCTCTTTACTTTGAGATATAATATAACGAGGATCATAATTAGCTTCCTGAACTAAATCTGTTATGGTTTTACCTTGCTGGTACTCCTGTTTCCTAATGTTACATTTCAATACCTTCTTATTGCTTCGGATTCCATACTCTGTAACATTAAGCAGCTGGAAAACAGGTGCTTTCTTTGCCTTCATTTTTATTCTTTGGGGACACAGGGTGCTTTTCATGAAAGCTGTTCTTCCTTTATCTTTGTGTTTTATAACTTCAGTAGAAATAAGCTCATCTGTATGAACAGAATCTAGGATAAACCCTGGACCATACAGCTTTTGCTGCCTCCATTGTATGGCTGTACTCCCATCCATTTCCTTTCTCTTTCTTTGCTTGAGTATGTTAACATTCTTTTTAGTGTTAATAAATTGTAGTCCAGCTGGTGAATACTTTGGAACTAAATTGGGACTCACTGTTGTTTTCATACCTGCTTCTATTTCGTGTTTTTTATCCTTTCTCTTTTTTTTCCTCCTATTCTCTTGTTCTTTTATAAGCAAAAGTATTCTTTCAATATTTCTTGTACTGTGATCCACATTTGAAATACTTGCTTCGTTTGAGATTTTCTTTACCTGTTGAGATGAACTCTTTAAAATTATGGCTTTTTTGTTAACTTCTTCCTTTGGCTTTTCAGCATGAAATTGATCCAGTATGCAAGTTGAAATGGATTCCAGGAGAGTTTCTTTGAAAGGCTTCTGCTGTTGTGCCATTAGCCCTGGAATAAGCAATTGTTCTTTTGCACCTGGTGGGCTATTAGTTACCTTCAATCCTCTTTTCTTCTGTGGTTTTGATAGCTTTAAATCTTGTTTTGCCGTCAATTCTTCTGTCTTTTTCAAATGAAGAGGTTCCTTCCTGAGTTCCAGATTGGTCTCAGCAATCAATTTGAATTTGCGCGTTGTCTCTTGCACTGGGAAATATTTCTGCTGTTGTGCCTCTTGCCCTTCAATGTAGACTTTTGGTCCTCTCATACTTCTTGAGATACCAAGCCCAGGGTGATCAGTTCCTCCTCTCTGTGAAGGTGGCTCAGAACATACCTTTCTTTGCAAATCTTCCAATTTGGCATGATGTTCCTTCATAGGCTGAGACTTAATCTGTACTGGTTGGATAAATTGTTGGGGTATGTCTACTAAAATGCTTTGGTGGTTTTGCTCTTCTTCGCTAATATTTTGTTCCAGTTTTTTAATGATGGTGGGAGTATCAGTATATCCTGGAAATGACACTTGTCTTTCATTTGATGTCTCCAGCTTTGGCTGTGGAAGAAAGCATACCCTCTCCTTTAGCTTGTCTCTCTTCTGTTTTATGTCTGTAAGCTTTTTAATGTGAATTGTAAGGCATTCAGTGTCAAAAGTAGTTTTCAGAACTATACTTCCTGCATGTTTACTTAGCTGTAATGTCCTCTGCTGCTGTGTGTTACCTCTCAGTTCTGTTTTGTTGCTTCTAGGACCATATACAAGCAGCTGGGAAACTGGTGTTTTCTTTCCCTTAAATTTTATCTGTTTGATATGCAGAGCACTTTTTATAACTGTTATTTTTTCCTTATTTTTATGAATTATGGTTTCAGGATACAGAGGTGTGTAGGCGTACGGCCTCCAGAGAGCTCCTAAAACACAAGGCTGCAGCTGTTTCTTTTGCAGGGCGAGAATCGTGGGATTCACTATTGTTTTCCAGTTTGTAGTTTTAAATTCTTTCTCCTGCTTTTCAATTTGATGTGCACTACAGATAAAAGCAGACTCTGGACTTAAATTCTCTACAGCTTTCATCTTTGCTTCTTGATCTATTATGTCAATTTTTGTTTCCTGAGAAATGGTGTTCACAGGGCATACCGTACTGATGGAAGTTGCTTCTGATTTGCAAGGACCAAGTTCTTTCATTTGGTCTACTCCAAACTCAAATGGTTGGATACACTGTGGAGCTGTTCTCAACAAAACTTCTTGATCATACTCTACTTTTTCCCTATCTTTTGCTTTATTCGGGACATTTAGCTTTTCACATGATTGTTCACATATATCCCAGGTTCTAGGTGATTCCTTTACTTTTATGTGTAGAATAGACATAGAAGGATGCATAAATTTTAGCTGTGAATTTAATATCACTTTATCTCTCTCTACTCCTGTCTTCTGAGCTTTAAAGTGCTGTGTCTCTTCCTTATTAATACTTATAGAAGCTTGATCTAAAGTATTAAGTGATAACTTCAAAGACAGACCTCCGGGATTTGATATACCAGTTATTTTTAGGCTATCATTTTGTTGCCTAATTTCTTCTGAAGTAGGCAAATGCCTGACAGCAGAGTCTAGGGGAATTTCTGTCAAATGGTATGGAGCTTGTTCTTTTAAAACAGAATGGCAAATTTTCTTATATATGTTCAATACAGTAACACCTGTTGGCTCATGCAGTTGTGCACAGATATTTGATTTCTCCATCTCTGGAAGTCCAACTTTCAGACTTGCTTGTATATTTTTGTTTTTTTCTATTTGTATATAATTTTTTGGATTAACTTTGTAAATTTGACTTCTTGGGAAGAAAGATTCTCCTAAAGGTACATCTTCTGATTTGCTAAGGTCAGATTCATTCATGAGATATGTGTTTACAGTGAAGTTTTTTGTATGGACTGGACTAGTTTCCATTGGACGTTCTTGCTTCTGTCTCTCACTTTCTCCATCATGTGGCTTCGTTTCCTTTAAAAAGTTGGAAATACCACTCTTGACAATGGAATTGGAATATCTTGTTATCCCTTCAACCGGTGACTCGACTTGTGTTAGTTGCGCATTACTAAACTTTGATATTTGCATGTCTGTCTCTGTTTTGAATTTGTTTTGCTTTTTCATTTCAGAGGTTTGTGGTGTGAAGTAAATGGTATTTGGAAATGTATCAGTCACATTTTTACCTTGCCAAATGGCTTTCATTTTGGTTCTTAAATTGGATACAAATACTTTTCTATGTTTTGTGGTAAAGTGTCTAATGCTTTTAAGTATATGTAAGCTTGGTGGTTTCTTCTTCATAGTTAAACATTCGTAATTCAATATGATTTCCTTTTCTGATAATTGTACTGTGTTTATCTGGCTTTTAGAATCAGGCATGAAGAAATCTAAAGACTCTAAGAAAGCTGTAACTAAGTTTTCTTGCAACTCCATCTTTTTCTCTTTAATAAGATCACACAGAATTTTTTGAAGTGCTCTGTTAGATACAGTGCCCTTTGCTATTGTATCAAATAAGAATTTATCCATCATTAATTTGGGAGATGTACTCTTAGCACCCTCAGGGGCACTGAATAAGGCCTCTTCTCCCACCTGTACATAACACTGTGGCTCTCTCATCTTGTACTTAATGTTCTGTTGGTTTTTCTTTCTATGGCCTCTATACTTTCTGATACTAAAAAACTGTGAAATTGGTGGCTGCTTTGCCTTCAAAATCATGTGCTTGGGACTCATTATACTTTTCTTGCCGAATGGGAAGCTCAGGCTTTTAGATTCAGATGACATGAGTCTGGAAAAATCTAGAGGTTTGAGAGTTGTTCTTAGTAAATCCTTTTGCTTCCATGTCTTTTTCTCAAAAATGGTGTTGTCCCATTTCCTTCTGGGATTTTCTTTCCAGGGAGTATTGCATTGCATTGACCCAGTTTCTGAGTTCTTGGCTTTTAGAAATGGAATCTTTGGCCCTATCATACTTTTTATTTCTTCTTGCATACGAGGACTCTTTCTCACTGGTTCAACTTGAAGAAACTTCTTCAAGTGTCTACAAAAAGTCTCCAAAATAGCATTTCTTAGTTGTGTTTCTTCCATCGTATAAGACAAATTATCAGTCCCTCTGACTTCAGAACTCTTCAGCTCAGATTCTGATTTGTGAGGGCCAGGATCTTTCATTTGATGTGCATGGAAATTGAAGTGCTGGCTATAGAATGGAACTGAATCTGATATCGTGTGGATATTTTTTTCTTCTTCATGTTGTATGTGCATTTCTGTTGTATTGCTAGATCTGCTTTGCATATCAGTCAAACTGGCCTTCTGCATTTTCTCATCATATGGTGATTTCTCTGTCTGTGGATGCATATAATTATATATTTGTATTCTAAGTTTGTTCATTTCTGCTTTTGATCTGCTATGTGTTTCTTGATCTTTTATGATAACAGTTGAAACAGGTGTGGGAGACAAAAATGGGTTGACTACACATTTATTTTGTTGCATGTCTTTTATCGCAGATTTTAAATTGTCCTCCTGTTCGCCCCTTTGTTGAAAATTACTATGCTCAGTAATATTAAGCATTTGTAAACAAAGAGGCTTCTTTGCTTTTGTAGTTAAACCTTTCGGATCCATATCTTTACTTTCTGGAAATTTTAACACCATTTTCTGCCTTTTGGAATCTGATAAAGCTGATATCATCTCTACTGTTAGCAAATTTCTTTGTGACTCCTCATGTTTCTTGGTGATATCACTACCTGGATCTCCAAACACTGAGCTCCTGGACTTCATAGGTGGGATATTTAGACCAACGGTGCATTTGATCACTTGTTGTGTATTTAGGTTTTCCTCTATTCCCTTAAGTTGTAGGGAAACTCCGCTGTGAACATCCAGCTTCCTTGTGAGGCTCGCGTCAGATGCAGGGCTATATTCCTTTTCATCAGTTAAAAGATTGTCAAACATTCTTCTCTCTGATTTTGGACATGGAATCTTTTCATCCATTTTATGTGGTATGTCTTTTTGCAGCAGGATGTGCTTCTTCAGATTTTCAACTTGAAATGCAGTTTTTAGAGGAGAACAAATTGACTCTGGTAAGTTTCCTGAACCCAGTGTTTGTGGCTGGACATCCTGCTTTGGAATAAGCACACCTTGAGAATTTCTACCTCCTCTCTTGTCGGGAAATTGCAGATCTGCTTTAAGTGAAACTTCTTTGCCTTCTTTTTCCTCTTCATTTTGTGATCTTCCTTCAAATGTGCTGCTTGAGATATTATATTTATTAGAATGATAGGTATACATTTTTTTCCTTTCATTTTGCTTTCGTTGTATAATACTGCTTGTTTTTCTCAAGGGACTTTTCACTGCTTTTGCTTTTTCATGCATTTTGACACCAGGTGAAACAGGTACAGGTGAAAAATTATTCATTAATATATTTGACATATCTTGGGATGTATCTTTGTGCATATTTTCCAAGATGAATTTTTGTTTCTTTCTGTGGTGAAGGGCACCATACCTAGAGACATTAATTGTCTTAAAAATTGATGACATCTGTTCTTTTTCAGTTATAGACTTAGGGACTTGTGCTGCATTTGTTTGCACTTTAAATTCACATGAGGCAGGCACAGAGAAATCAAAAGATGCTAGAATTCTCGCCTGTAAATCCTTTTGTAACCTTATCATTCCTGCTGGAACTGAACTGGTAAGTTCTTTTTGAGAGCTTCTTTCAGATGGACTGTAACTCTGTGCTGTAACTGTTAAAAATCTACTAACTGGTTTCCTTAGCTTTAGAGATGAAATATTTGCATTCTCTGTATCTGTTAAATCATTTTGTGTTTCTGTTCTTTTGGGTAGCTTCTCAAGTGGAATTGAATTCAAAATAGAATTTAACATGCTCTGTGTGGCAACTGTGTGTTGCTGCAGCACCTGAGTAAGTGCTTCTGACATTTTTTCACTTGCTGAATTCTTCAGTTTTAGATCTGATTTCACAAAGTTAGGCCCCTTCACTATATGAGCATTGAAATTGAAGTGTTCATAAATCAGTGGGACTGGTTCTCCACCTTGGCCTTTGACCTTTGAGGTTCTGCTCTTATCACTGAGATCTACACACCAGGCTCCTTGTCTATGTGTTGATTGCTCCCGCTCTCCCACTTTGAGACTAACTCTCATTTTCCATGGCATTTCTCTCTCCTTTATTCTGTTGGGCACTTTCATGTCAAGGGACAAAGGGTTGAGAGAAATAGTATTTAAGAAGGTATCTGCCACAGGTTTGCCTTGTTTCGTCATGGTTTTCGAATGGCATTCTGATTGCCTTCTATGGCTTGGGGTACCATGTCCTGTGATACTAAATGTCTGAGAGATTGGCGGTTTCTTTGCCTTCAGAGTTACACATTTGATATTTATTTTATGTTTCTTGTCCACATGTTTTAAATTGTTTCTCTCTCTTTTAGATGCAGGTAAAACAAGCATGGAGAAATCCAAAGACTCCTGCATTGTGCTCGGTAATTTTTGTGCCAATTTTTTCTTCTTATCTGCGATAAGATTGTCCAGTACCACCATACGAAATCCACCAGAAAGGACTCCAGAGTATAAAAACTCAACAAACTGAGATTTAAGGGTTTTTGGAGGTAGATTTTTTAGATAACCACACCGTGGAACATTAAAAATATGTGAAATTGGTGCTTTCCTTGATTTCATAGGTACACATTTGAGACTCATTTCACTTCTTAAGGCTCTACATGTGAATGTCTTCCTCTGTCTGTTGGATTCAGTTAGATCAGGTGAGGAGGCAGTCAAAGATGCCAGAGCTGTTGTTTGTAGATCTTTTTCAAGCTCCGCCTTTCCCTCTTCATCCCAGCTGCACAGTTCCCCTATAAGGTTCCTATCAGTTGGGATACCATGTTTTCTTGTACCAATTGAAACTTCACCAGTTAGTGATTTTTCTGGTTGTAGAAGAGGAAGTGTTGGACCTGGTGTACAAATCATGCCATCTTGTGGCTGGAGGTTTTTCTTAAGTTCCTCTCCTTGTATTGCATTTGTATACTGAATTAGCTGTGGGACATTTTGTTCTGTAACAAACAAAATTTTCCTTCTTTCTTGGTTTTTGTGCAAATCAAGATCCTTCCTATGATCTGAACAGAACACAAAATGTTGGCTATACTGTGGAATTACCTCTAATAAAGCCTGCTGTTCATATTCTTCCTCTTCATCTTTAAGATTGGGTTCTTTGATGCCATCTGAAGTAATGCTAATTTCATGTAGTGATATTTCTTGCTTTACTTGTGTATCTTTTTCTGTTTCTATCTTGCTAGTCATATTAATATCAGGTGTAACAGTCATGAAAGAGTACATTTTATCTGCCACTTCTTTTCCTCGATGAACTTCTTTTATTTTATTTGTCAAGTTATATCCCAATTCTTTTCTATGACTTGGACTAGTACCACCCTTGAGATGGAGCATGTGTGAAATTGGTGGTTTCTTTGCCTTTATAATTCCACATCTGTGATTTACTAACATTTTCATGTCTGAAAATTGTTTGAAGTTTCTCTTTTTTCCAGATGTAGATAAATCAGGAATGTCCAAATCAAAAGTCACGGCCTTTTTCTTTATACTGCCATCAGCCCGTTTCTTGTGATGGCTTGCATCAGATAGGATACCATTTTCTCTTCCACAAAATACATAAGCCTTTTTTTCCCCAGACTTTGAATGTGAAAATGTGATATATTTCTCAGGCTTTTCAAGTTGAAACTTATCCAAGATAGGACACAAACTAGAACTTGGAGTAGTCTGTGGAAAATATGTTTGTGGATGTATCTGAATATTTATACTTCCTGGTTGGTACAGTTCCTCACCTGACTTGACTAGTTCATTATCTTTCTGAGCCTTTTGATGGGCATTGAATACAAAGTCTTGTCTGTTCTTCAGAGTCTGTGGAACTTCAGGTCCACCTTTTCTTTCCTTTTTCACACTCTTAGAGAAACTACACACATCAATAGCATTTGGGTAATATATTTTTCTTCCATTTTGTGATTTATCCTGCATTAGATGCATACGACCAATTCTTGCTTTTCTCTGTGTATCTATATCCACATTTAAACTTCTCTTCATTTTGATCTTGGGAAGGTTAGGCATGATAGAGTGAATGATGTCTAAACATGCACCTGTTACCTTTTTCTTCTGCTGTGAATCTTTCATTTTCATTTGAATTTCATTGCTTTGCTGTTCCTTGCTATTCCTGCCATTAGTCACACGTAAAATTAATGGCTTTATTTCCCTCATGGTTCTATGATATAGACTCACTGGTTCTTTCTTCCTTACTAATCTTAATGCTTTTTTGTGTCTTTCAGATTTAGACACAGAGGGTGTCATAATGGAATCAGAAGACTGCTGGATTGTCATTTGTACATCTGGCTTCTCTGATTTATTCCCCGTAGAGTAAGAATCTAGTTCCCTTTTAGGGGTTCCATCAGGTGATAAACCACCCTCTGTCATGTTCAAAATTTCATTTAGTGGTGAGTTTCCTGATTGGGGAGGTGGCGTCTCAGCACTCTTAGTAACCATCATGTCACTTGCTGTTTGGTTTGCTGTCTGTAGTTCTTCAGATTCTGTAGGATCCATTTTGAGGCTAGCCTCCATGGCACTTTCTGTAAAACCCATTTGGTGCTGTATGCTTTGCTTACGTATAGGCAGTTCCTGTGTTAAATGGTCCAGTGACATATCTGTTTTGTTAAGGTGGATCTCCTTCATTTGACATGCATCAGACCACACGTGTTGGCTGTGCTGTAGAGCTGCTTCTCTTATAGGCTTTTGTTCTTTTTCTTCTTTATCTTGTAATTTTTCTTCCAGGTCATAGAATGCACTACTCTTAGCAAAGAAATCAACATAATTTTTCTTTGCTGGTTTGTATGGCTTTAACTGAGTATGACAGAAAATGGTCTGCAACTGGCTGTGAATGGGAGAGCAAAGGGTATTTAGACAGTCGGGGACCAATCTTTCAGTTTGGTTGATCTTTTTAACCACGGTCTTAAAGTTCGAGTCTGATTTCTTTTTTCTGTGGCCTGTGATATTAGATACTTGTGAGTTTGATGGCTTCAATACCTTCATATTTATACATTTGGGGCTCAATAAAGTTTCCATGCTTGCAAATCTTACTCTGTTTTTCTTTCCTTTAGAATAAGACAAAACAGGTGTGGAGCAATTACAAGTCTCAAGGGGAGCTGCTGGTAAATCCTTTGGTAACCCTGCTTTTTCTTCAGCATAACAGGAACCCGTTTCACTTGTATCACTTCTATTACTTGGAACACCACTTTCTTCTATTTGGCTTAAAGGGTCTCCACTTAGTGGTTTTCCTGGTATTGGAGGAGGCATCTCTGAATCTGCAGTGCTTCTGAAGTCTGTCTGTGTTGTTAGGCTTTTCTTTATACTCTCAACATGAGATAGATCTATTAGAGGGGAGTCAACAGATTCCACAATGGCTTCTGTTGATGGGATTGGTTGATGCATTTCTTTCTCTGTTTTAATCTCCTTTTCTGCAATTGCATCAAATCTGAGGTTCTGAGTTTCTTTGTCCCTTTTCACCTCATCTTGCAATTTAGTGTCTAGTGTATTTGGAGATTCATTGTCCTTACTAGTGGACTCCGGATACTTTTCTTCCTCTTCAAGTTGAGGTGTCTCTTGAATTGGTCTGATATGACTGGAATTCTCTGCATTTAATCCACTACATCTTCTAGCTTCAGGCAAAACAGATGTGTGAGGGTAAATAGCTTTCACCTCATCTTGCAATTTAGCGTCTAGTGTATTTGGAGATTCATGGTCCTTACTAGTGGACTCCGGATACTTTTCTTCCTCTTCAAGTTGGGGTTTCTCTGGAATTGGTCTGATAAGAGTGCTATTAAAATCAGCTACAATTTTATCTTGAGGCATCTGCTTAATTGTGATTTCAGAATTGTCTCCCAAATTTTTAATATGGCTTGGAATACCCTGTCTATTGATACAAGGCTTTAGTGAGATGGCCATCTTCTTTACTTTCATACTTACATGTTTGACTTTCAGTACATTTTTTGTTCCTGATTTTTTTCTTCTTACATTGAAAGACTCCAGGGCAACTGCAGGTAAATTTCTCTTTGAGTCACCCATTTCTTCTGCATTATCACTATCTACTACATTACTGAGGTTTCTGCCAAATGGGATACCATGCTCTATTGTTTCAATTAAAAGTTCACCAATTGACAGGTTCTCAGGCATTGTAGGTGGATTCATTGAGTCTATAATACTTTCTCTACCTGGAGGTCTTTCTGTGTTTTGCTTTACCTTCTTAACTTGAAATGGATCTATCTTGGGGGGTGAACTTGTCCCCAAAATAGAAAGAGTTTGTGGTTGTACTTTTAGCTCTTTATTTTGAGTTTTTCTACTTTGTAAACTGATCTGTTCTACTCTGAATTTGATATATTTAGGGTTTTGTTTTGGATATATGCTGAAGCTGATATCTTGTGGTGTCAGCTGAGGAATGGCTTTTTCCTCCTCTTGTCCCTCTTGCTCTCTGTCATATTGTTTTGGTTTTTTAAGTACAGAGCTCTTATCAATGTATTTTTCATTCTGTACTCTCTTTTCATCTGGCAGTATTTCAAGCTTCAATGTTGAATGATTGAGCCTTATTATTACTGATGTATTTATCTTAGTTTTTAATCTGCTATGTATTTCCATATCAGGTGTTTCAGTGTGGCTGGCATTATGACATGCATCAGATGTGTTTTTACCTTGAAGAATATATTTTATGTTGCTTTTAGTGTTGCATTCCAGTTCCTCAATTTCCCTTACATTGCCACATTCTGTAATATTAAATATTAATTGTTTCTTTTCCTTCAGATTTACTTGAACTTTTAGGCCTTCAAATTGTTCTCTGTTTTCATGCTTTCTGAGTCCTGGGGAAATGGGCAAATTAGGATTGGACAACTCCAGAACAATTTCCAGAAAGTCTTTTGGGTTCTGTGTATTTTCCTTTGAAAACCGCTTCTGTATTTTTGGCAAACTAGTTAGCAATTCCTCTCCATTTGAAAGCTGAAGATGGGAATTCTCTGTACTTTGTAGGTCCTCCTGTGTTTCCATTCTTCTGTTCGATTCCATTTTGGGAGAGGAAACCAGTTTGGGCAAAGGTTCTGATAGAGCTGCTTCTGAAGGTGCCTCGTCCTTTGGAATATGCAGGTCAACTGCTTTTTTGTCCATTGGGGCATGCAATTCTGTAATACTAATTTCTTTTGTCTGTTTAATTGGGTCTTCAGGAGATTGTGTGCTATTCCTGGTTGTTTCTGTTAATAAACAAGGTACTTTTAGTTGATCAGTGTTAACCACGAAAGACTGTTCTAGCTGAGGTGACATTTTTAGCGAAACACCTTCTATTCCCATATTTTCTCGTTCACGCTGCTGTGCACTTTCAGTAATGCCTGAGAGACTTCTCTCCGCAGCAGAACCTATGTGATCAATTTCCTGTGTAGCTGGTAATTCATTCTGCTTCTGCAGAAAATGTTTGCATTTTATTAAGCCTTGCATGACTTCCATTAGTTTTTTCCTGGAATACTTTTTAATGTATGGAGGAATAAGCTTGGGAGCAGAAATAAGCTGCAAAGCTATACCTAAGAGGCCTTTCCTTTGATGCGACTCTTTCTTCAGAGAGTTATTCTTACATGCCAGTTCATTCCTGTTTTTTGAAGTGTGAAATACTGTGGTTTGAAATACCCATGAGGTTGTTTTCTTTGTTTTCAGAGATGGAATGTTAAGATTGAGTTTGCTTTTATTGTCAAGTGTTTTTCTTCTGTCTTTCTGCCCTTTCATGGTAGGTGAAAGAGGCATTGAACTATGTAGAGAATACTGGTTTAATTCTGATGAAGCCATTTGTTGCTTGTCTTTTGACTTTACATTCTTTAGTTGTGGCACATCTTCAGTAACCGAATTTGGACTTAGAGTTAGACCCAGAAATTCTGCACTTTTAAAAACAGTATCTTTCCTCTTGATAAAATATTTAATCTTGTTTGACTCTTCAAAAGAAACAGGATACTGGTTTTCACCTAAGTGTATATCAGAACCTTTGCCTATGATAAAATCTTCTTGTGTTTCCACAGTGTATTGGACTGGAATACTGTGGCCTGTATCCATATTGTGGGCCAGGAGAGAGTCTCGTGTGCTGGTGGAAAATGGTTTCTTCATCAAGTCTTGAGGCAGAGCTAAATAACTAGTAGCATTGATATCAGGCTGGTTGTTGATTGATTCTTCATTGTGAATAAACTCTTGGTCTTGACTAGGGAATTGAGTTTCATAAAAATTTTGATTCTGAATAGCATTGTGTCCTGGAGAAGAATCTTGTGCTTGGGCAAGAATAGCCATCCCAACAGAATGTTGGTTCTGAACCAAGGACTCTCTAGATCTCGAGCACAGATAAATAGCTTCACTGTCTAGTGTAGCATTGTGATGTAAAGGAATTTGATTTCTCACGGTTTCTTCCAGAAGTCTAACTTGGTCTCTAGAAAGAAATAAATGGGCAGGAGGGCATGGTGTCACATCTAGATTTTCATTCTCTATAGAGAATTTAGATGCTTTTGAAAAACTAGCATCAGAAGAAAACTCTGAATTTTTATTTTTGTTGGCTTTCATTATTGAAAATAATTTTTTTGAAGAAATTTGTATTGTTTCATATTCATTTTCTGGATGCTGTCTATTTCTTAGAAAAATTTCCTTTACTTCTGAGTGAAACAATGACAAAGATGAGCTGGTCTCACTTGAAGATGTCACATGACTTCTGCAAACGTGACTTACATGATATTTGCTTTCATTGGTGCCTGCCCGGTTTAGTTCACCTAACAATAAAACTTCATCTTCAAAGTAACCGTCATTTCTTTCAGGTGTAAGTAATGATGTAGTTGTTCTTTCTGAAAAGATGTCATCTCTAAAATATAAGAAAATTGTGCAAATGAACTGTCATATGGGATATATCTCTTACAAGGCTCTTTTTTTTATTTAAGGAAGCAACATAGTAAATGAAAACAGGTCAATATACAGTGGAAAGTAATTATCCACATTATAAAGTAATTCATTATCTAGTTCCTTTCACTTAATGTACTGATCAAAACTAACAAAGTGAAGTTAATAATTTATATATCTTAGAGAATGAGATACATCAACTTCTCTAAAAGACTATTCTTGACAGCAGTGAGTCAAAGTTGCAGAATAAAATTACACTCCTTTATAAGCAATGGAGTTTATTTCTGTTCTTTGTTTGAAAATTTTTATAAGAAAAATTCCTGGGGAAATTTAGTAGGAGTAACAGAAGAATGTCCAATAATATAAACTACAGTTTTCTGTAGATAAATTCAGATGTTCTTAACAGCTGTTTGTGGTGAGCAGAAAAGTCTACATCTTAGGGAAGTGTCTCTAAGCACAATTTTAAGTTAGAGTAATGATCATAGAAGTGAGCTTGCCAATATCCATCCGCCCACCTCCCATGATAAGCTTCAGTCTAATAACTACTCAGGTCAACAGCATCAGCACTCCTGCTGTGATACTTTTTTTTTTTTAATTTTTGAGGGTGGGGGGGAGTGGGAAGAAGGGAAAATGGGTGAAAGAGAGAAAGGGAGAGGAAGAGAAAAAGAGAGAGAGAGAGAGAGAGACTCCCAACTGCTGGATTACTCCCCCCTCCCCAAATGCCATCAAGGGGCAGGACTGGGCCAGGACAAAATTAGGAGTCAGGAACTCTGTACTCCCATGTGGGTGACAGGGACTCAACTACTTGAGCCATCATCTGCTGCCTCCCAGGGTCTCCATGCACAGGAAGTTGGAATCAGAAGCCGGGTGGGAAACCGAACCTATGCACTCCAATGCGGCATGTGGGCATCCTAACAGCTAGGCCAAATGCCGGCCCCACAATGATGAACTTTATGTCAGTTTGGGCCATGATGCCCAGAAATGCAGCCAACCATTATCTGGTATGTTTCTGTGAAGATGCTTTTGGATGAAATTAATATTTAAATCAATTAGCTCTGAGTAAAGCAGATTACTTTCCATAATTTGAGTGGGTCTCACCTAGTTAGTTAAAGGTCTAAATAAAACAAAAGTGTGACCATGCCAGAGTAAGGAAATTCTGCCAACAGATAGCTTTTGGATTTAAAATGCACATTTTGGACTTGCTAATCACTATAACTGTATGAGCTAATTCTTTAAAATCTCACTCACTCACTCACTCAATATTTCTTTCACTCAATGATTCTGTTTCTTTGGGAAAATCTAGTATACCCAGAAACTTGTTAGAAATTAAATGCAAATTCTCAGGCCACACCCTAACTCCATTAAATCAGAAGCTCTGCGGGTAGGACCCAGAAATTTAAGAGTTCTTTAAAACATTATTTATTTGGAAGGCTGGCATTGTGGCTCAGAGGATTACACCTATTACTGGCTTCCCTTGATGGAGTACCAGTTGGGAGTCCTTGCTGCTCTGTTTCTGAAGATGGCTCAAGTGCTTGGGACCCTGTCAACCACATGGGAGAACTGGATGGAGTTTCTGGCTTTAGCATGGTCCAGAACTGGCCATTGAGGCCATTTGGGGGTGAAACAGTGAATGGAAGATCTCTCTCTCTCTCTCTCATTCTGCTTTTCAAATAAATAAGATAAATATCTTAAAAATTATTTATTTTCATCTTATATGAAAGGCAGAGTAACAGGAAAAGACAGAGTGACAAAGAGATAGAGAGAGACAAAGATCTTCCATTTGCTGGTTGACTCCCCAAATGTCTTTAACACCCAGGGCTGGAGCAGGCCAAAACCAGGAGCCCCAAACTCTATTCAGGTCTCCCATGTTGGGGGCAGAGACCCAAATTCTTGAGCCGTCATGTGCTCTCACAGGACACATTAGCAAAAAACTGGATTAGAAGTGGAGAAGCTGGATTTCAACCAAGAGTTACTCAGATATGGGACTAAGTATCCCAAGCAACACTGTAACCACTGTACTACTCATATGCCAGATGGACCCTGATGCATGATAAGTTTTGAGAATCACTCTTTTTATGGAAGGGATTTTCCAAAATAAAACATTGAAACTCATGTAAACTAGGCAGCTTACTAGCTATCTGTGATAATACAGATTATCTCATACTTTCCTGGAAGTGTGATCTTACATATAAATAACCCTCAGTCAAACACAGTAGTGAAGGTAGTATATGAAATCATCATGATCTAGCCAACCTTGTGTTAAATAAAGACATATTGCAAATCTCCTTAATTTGGATTTGTCTAATTAGAATCTGGAGTGGAGCCAGTGCTGTAGCATAGCGGGTAAAGCCGCTGCCTGCAGTGCCAGCATTTCCTATAGGTGCCAGTTCGAGTCCTGGCTGCTTCACTTCCGACCCCATTCTCTGCTATCGCCTGGGTGAGCAGACAATGCACCTGCATGGGAGACTCAGGATAAGTTCCCAGCTCCTGACTTCAGATCGGCACAGTTCCAGCTACTGTGGCCAACGGGGGAGTGAACCAGAAGAATGGAAGTCCTCTCTCTCTCTATCTCTGTCTCTCCTTCTCTATCTGTGTAACTGTGACTTTCAAATAAATAAATAAATCTTAAAAAAAAGAATATGGGGTATTTTTGAATATACTATGGTTACATTTTTATAGACAACAAAATATTAGGTGAATAAAATTTGCCAGTTTCCAACTTCTCTTGTGAGAGTATTCATTAGCCTTTAAAATAGTCTGTGTCAGAGCCACTAGGCAAAAAAATAAATAAATAAATAAATAAATCAAGGGGATGGGAAAAGAAGAAGTCACATTATCCCTGTTTGCAGATGACATGATCCTATATATGTAGAGAGAGGAACCAAAAGACTCTATTAAGAGACTATTGGACCTCATAAGAGAGTTGGTAAAGTTGCAGGATACAAAATCAACACACAAAAATCAATAGCATTTGAATACACAGGCAATGCTATAAGTGATACCTCGAATAGCTAAAGCAATCTTGTACAACAAAAACAAAGCTGGAGGCATCACAATACCAAATTTCAGGACATACTGCAGGGCAGTTGTTATCAAAACAGCATGGTACTGGTACAGAAACAGATGGATAGACCAATGGAACAGAATTGAAACACCAGAAATAAATCCAAACATCTACAGCCAACTCATATTTGATCAAGGATCCAAAACCAATCCCTGGAGTAAGGACAGTCTATTCAATAAATGGTGCTGGGAAAATTGGATTTCCACGTGCAGAAGCATGAAGCAAGAACCCTACCTTTCACCTTACACAAAAATCCACTCCACATGGATTGAAGACTTAAATCTACGACCCGACACCATCAAATTATTAGAGAACATTGGATAAACCCTGCAAGATATAGGTACCAGAAAAGACTTCTTGGAAAAGACCCTGGAAGCACAGGCAGTCAAAGCAAAAATTAATATTTGGGATTGCATCAAATTGAGAAGTTTCTGTACTTCAAAAGAAACAGTCAGGAAAGTCAAGAGGCAACCGACAGAATGGGAAAAAATATTTGCAAACTGGCTGATAACCAGAATCTACAAAGAGATCAAGAAACTCCACAACATCAAAACAAACAACCCACTTAAGAGATGGGCCAAGGACCTCAACAGACATTTTTCAAAAGAGGAAATCCAAAGGGCCAACAGACACATGAAAAAATGTTCAAGATCACTAGCAATCAGGGAAATGCAAATCAAAACCACAATGAAGTTTCACCTCACCCCGGTTAGAATGGCTCACATTCAGAAATCTACCAACAATAGATGCTGGAGAGGATGTGGGGGAAAAGGGACACTAACCCACTGTTGGTGGGAATGCAAACTGATTAAGCCACTATGGAAGTCAGTCTGGAGATTCCTCGGAAACCTGAAGATAACCCTACCATACAACCCAGTCATCCCACTCCCTGGAATTTACCCAAAGGAATTGGCAAACAAAAAAGCTGTCTGCACATTAATATTTATTGCAGCTCAATTCACAATAGCTAAGACCTGGAACCAACCCAAATGCCCATCAACAGTAGACTGGATAAAGAAATTATGGGACATGTACTCTATAGAATACTATACAGCAGTCAAAAACAATGAAATCCGGTCATTTGCAACAAAATGCAGGAATCTGGAAAACATCATGCTGAGTGAATTAAGCCAGTCCCAAAGGGACAAATATCATATGTTCTCCCTGATCGGCGACAACTAACTGAGCACCAAAGGGGAAACCTGTTGAAGTGAAATGGACACTATGAGAAACAGTGACTTGATCAGCTCTTGTCCTGACTGCTGATGTACAATTTAACACTTTATCCCTTTTAGCATTTTTTTTTGTTCTAGTACTATTGGTTGAACTCTGTAATGAACACACAATTATTCTTAGGTGTTTAAATTTAACTGAAAAGTGATCCCTGTTAAATATAAGAGTGGGAATAAGAGAGGGAGGTGATGTACAGTTTGAGACATGCTCAATCAGACTTGCCCCAAATGGTGGAGTTAGAAATGTGCCAGGGGATTCCAATACAATCCCATCAAGGTTGCATGTACCAATACCATCTCACTAGTCCAAGTGATCAATTTCAGTTCACAATTGATCACACTGATAGGTCTAAGAGTCAAAGGGATCACACAAACAAGACTAGTGTCTGCCAATACTAACTGATAGAAAACAAAAGGGAGAGAACAATCCAATATGGAAAGTGGGATACACAGCAGACTCATTGAATGGCAGATGTCCTAAACAGCACTCTGGCCTCAGAATCAGCCCCTAAGGCATTCGGATCTGGCTGAAGAGCCCATGAGAGTATTTTAGGCATGGAAAGCCAAGACACTCTGGCAAAAAACAAACAAACAAACAACAAACCCTAAATGAAAGATCTCTGTGAGTGAGATCCCAGTGGAAAGAATGGGGCCATCAAAGAAGGAGGT